AAATTTATATGGATTCAATTACTTATTTAAGACAAATATTTAAATATAAACTCTTTGGTTTATAATTTATAAGGGAATACAGTTTCACATCACTCTCTACACAATGAATTGACGCGCCTAAAGCCATGTAGGATGCCATTATTGAATTTTTTAAAAATAATTTTATCATAATTTCTAATTTGACCATTCGTACCATTGCTTATTACAAGCTCGAATACCAAGGAGCCCCATGTTTAGAAGAAATATTAAGGTTTATTAAAACATTAATTTACGTATAATGATATTTCTTTTGTAATGACAAACTCTTAATTTGCTATACTGTATAACAGGAAGATGCCAAATTATCATCAGGTTCAATAATTCGTCAAAAGAGTCCTTTCATGAATGGTTCTATTTTCCAGGTGACAGAATCTCAGGTTCGCAAGTGAATTAATTATTTATGAAATTTAGTGGTTTTGAATAGTCTAATATTAATATTAATTTTTTTTTTTTTTTTTTGGTAGTCAAAATTTAATCCAGAGATTCCTCCAGCTGCTAAATCAGTAATGCGAAAATTATTGGCTGGTGAAATAATTTTTTCGATTAATGGATCACCTCTCGTCAATCCTTTTTCATAGGGTTGCGACCCAACCCTTTTTTGAAGGATGATATTATTACGTAATTTAGGTTAGGGAATCGGGATTTTTTACATCATTTGGGATAATAACCAAAACTAAAATATATGCCCCATTTTCGGTCAATAGTATCAAACTCAAAAATGGTCAAATTTATTAAATCAATGTTATAAATTATTAAATTTTCGTTTTTTTTTTTCATTTTCAAATTAAGTACCTAAGAATGATTCAAGGATTGTTATATAAATTGACTTATTAGGTATAATGGTTATAAAGATTGTTAAACAAATTGACTTACGTATTAAATAGCGATAGACTTATTAGCGTTAACGTTAGGTTTAATGGTTATAACCGAAATGTGTACAGTGAAAAATAAATATATGTAAAAGTGAACGTTTTTACATACAAAATGATAAACTTTTCCTTCGGGTTGGTGTCAATAAATTCGATTACACTTATTTACACTTTTACAGTCATCTTTAACTCGGAAATTTGGTACATACGTACTTACGTAGTGAATTAATAAAAAATGCGTCGGCTTGAATGATATGAAAAAATATTTTAAGATTTCCAGGGTACCAGGGTCTGCGCCACAGCGTCTAATTGACCCGGGTTCTAAAGGTATCTTCGTTATCTCGCTATCTTTATTGTTTTAAATTATAAGCGACCTCATGAGTTTGAAACCGGAAATTTGGTGAGATGTTTTATTAATAAAATTAGACAACCTCTTCATTTAAACCCCTCAAAGGTCTTTTTGGAACATTTTAGTTCCTTAAGGTAGTATGTATTGTATGTAGAATTTACAGAAATTCAGTATTGACAATTGTTTGTATATATAATTGTATTTTTCAATAATAATATAATCAATAGAAATTATTAATGAAATTCTTATATTTTTAATTATATATAATAAAAGTATCTCTAAAATTATTCA